CTGTAAACAAATGCTGAGCGAATGAATGAATGAACTGTTCTCTTTAGAAGTAGCTATGAGGAACTCAGGTCCACAACTGGTTGGCTTTCAACGGGGATCCATTTGTGCTTCGACAGATTATTTTTTCTCTCTAGTTTCAGATATACTTAGGAGAGTCCTTCCAGTACCGTTTCCACCAGATTGTCGTCAAAATGTAGGTCGGAAGTAAAGAATACGAGCGTCTATTGAAGAGTGGCATCAATGCATTAAAAGGTACCCTGGTGGCCTTAAAAACTTAATGCAGCTTTTTAAAATGGCTAATTTATACACTGGGCTAGTCCGGCTCACCCTGGCGCACTGGATCACATTATACAGAAACGTAGATGGAACACACATATAATAGGTGGTGGCTGGGCTCAGTTATGACCTTATTTTCACTGATAAAGACAAATCTCATAATTCACTGGTAGCAGTCAGTCTTTTATCTTTCCCTGGACTCATGAGGATACCAGTCACATCCACTGAGCCTGCTCTGTGTGTGACAAGGAAGCTCTGGCAGCCAATCATCGCAAAGGTGATTCATTCATTTGCATTCAGATATCCCGTTGGTTAAAAAGCAATAGAAATGTTTGGGGCTTTTTTTTTTTTCCTTCACGCTATAAAAAGTGGCTTACTGGTAAAATATACGCCTTTACTCATCTTGCAGAGCTGCTATAAAAAATAACATTTGGCAGTGGGAAGTGGGACTTTGCTTGAGGAACTAATGTGTACAGATAATATTTATACATTTCTTAGATGGCCATGGACACTTGTCAAGGCTTTCGTGTTCCAAAGACGCAGACGGATAAAATTTGCTGTGGTGTGGGTCTTGATGGTTAGAGCGTATGTGCGGATTTATAAAGTACAAGATTGCAAAATGAAGTGGTAAGAAGACCAAGGGGCCTGGAGCGGCGGGGGGGTGACGTTAGGTAGAGTATTGAATCTGACTTTCACGCCAGTCATGAGAAAGCACCATGCTTTCTTTCCTCCACGCTTTCTGTGCCTGCGTTAGCTCCCTCTCAGATGGGCTTGCCCACGCCAGCTTCCACCTTCAGCCCTGTTCTCGGAGCCCTGACGTTGGCCAAAGAGGCCAGTTGGGGACCAAGCAGCTGGGTCAGGGCCTCAGAACGCTGAGCAGCTTCCAGGAGACCCAAAGTGGCTCAAGGAAAATGAAGAAGCAGTATCAGGGGACTGGAGAATGAAGTGTTCCAGTACTGCTGAAGCCAGGGTCCCCCTGCCCCGCTGGGGCAGAAATCAGTAGGGGAGCCTGGATGTTTATTTTCAAAGCAGGAACTACATCCCGCATTATGCTCTGCACTGTTCTAAGTACCATGTTGGATAAATGTTAATAACAGCAGCCATAATGATGATAACAGCAGTTGTGGTCACCCCGCCTCCTGCATGCCAAGGGAATTGAAGAGATTTAACCATTTCTTGTGATCGATGTCAGTGTACCCAGGATCCCCGGCTCCCTGGTATTTTTCCTGTTCCCCCATCTGTCTGCAAAGACTCTCGGGAGGTAGGAAAGAGGTCCCAGAGACTAGTGCTTTCTGCATATTCATTTTGAGAACAGTCACTCCGAGAACGAGCAAATGCCCCTCATGTGTCTTGTCTGCCAATTAGACCCCTCTGTCCGCCGAGACCCTTTCAAAAAAACAATAATGAAACCTTCATTTTAATTATTCTCTTTCTTGGTCCCACTTCAGGACTATGCCTTTTAAATAAGTTACACCCGAGTTTCTTCCTTCTCATCTTGCTCCTAATTAAGGACGGTGGGGGGTATCCTTTGGTCTTATTTTTTTATAATTTTAATTACACTGATCTTGGCTTAAAACAGGACCCATTTAAGTGCTGAGAAGATATGTATTTTCTGGTTCAGTGAGTTTTTTTCCTCCCACGCCTCTTCGAAGAGGACATAGTCGAGAGATGGAGCTTCTCGGAGCACCAAAGCTCGCTAAGCCTGCCTTGCCTTGGATGAAGGACGGGAAGCCCTGGGGGGACCCCAGCTGCTGCAGGAGGGCCTGGTATCTTCAGGGGGACTGACATCTTACCATAAGAAGCAGCCACCATGATGAAAAGTCAGAGTGCAGATGACAGCCCGGGGAAATACTCCAAGGGAATGCAGAGGTGGCTCTCTCTAAAAAGGTGAATGATCTGCTGGTTGTTCTTCCCTACCCTCCACAGCACTTGGCCTGGTTGTTCTTAGAAGGGCAGTCATCATGCTATTTCTCTTCCTCCTCCTCTTCCTTCTCGATCCTGGTCGAGCATGACCTTGACCTCCATGAGGAGTACTGCCACTCTCTGCTTCCTGGAGTCCACATGATTCAGTGGTAAGAAACTATGAGCACCAGGAGACCAAGGCCAAGGTTTGAATCCCAGCCTCGCTGATACTTCTCATATAGTCTTTTAAAAAAATATTTAATGTTTATTTATCTTAGAGAAGGAGAGAGTGAGAGCGTGCGAGAGAGACAGCACAATTTGGGGAGGGACAGAGGCACAAGTAGGGGAGGGGCAGAGAGAGAGGGAAACACAGCATCTGAAGCAGACTCCAGGCTCTGAGCTATCAGCACAGGCCTACTGTGGGGCTCAAACTCATGAACCCGCAAGATCATGACCTGAGCTGAAGTTGGACGCTTAACCAACTGAGCCACCCAGACACCCCAGATATTTGTCATATAGTCTTAGCAAATGATTTTCCCGATGAGCTCTGAGATCCTCTTCTGAATAAAAGGAGGGGGGGCTCCCAATATCTACTTGGCAGGACGCATATGACAATGAGTGCTAAGTGAAATAAGCCTCCTGGCGCGAGATAGGTGCCCCCTAAACCTTGTTGCCCCTTTCCTTTGTGAGATAAATGTGGGTGAGTAACTGGGAGGGCAGGGCTGAATAATAAAGATAGTAACACACAATAAACAATAAAGATAGTAAGATCTAAAGATATAATAAAATAAAGATAATACATAATAATAAAGAGAGTAAAGATGCACAGTAAAGATAGTAACACACACAGATACACAGATACACACACACAATATCTATCTTGTCCTCTCTGCTTGGCCCATCCCCTTCCCGTGTTCCTTTTTCCTGCCTCCTCCTTCATAAGGTTTACTCTGATTGCTTCCAGTCCACAGCAGTCCTGCCCAACCCTTTTGCCTCAACCACACAGCTTAACATGACATCAGGTTTCACAGGGTTTGTGTGTTAAAACCTTCTCTCTCTAATCAGGGAAGCTCCTTGGGAAGAAACTACGTGGGATCCTTTTCCTTGAGTCTTTGCAGCATCCAGTGTTATGCCAGGCTTGCAGTAAATGTTTAATAATTAAGTGAAGTGCTATCATTAGTCCTACCTGAGGGTGGAGACTGTATTTCATTTTATTATTATTATTTTTTAAATGTTTATTTTTTGGGAGAGAGAGCACACAAGCAGGGAGAGGGGCAGAGGGAGGGGGACAGAGGACCCGGAGCAGACTCTGTGCTGACAGCAGAGAGCCCCATGTGGGGCTTGAACTCATGAACTACGAGATTGTGACCTGAGATGAAGTTGGATGCTCAACCGACTGAGCCACCCAGATGCCCCTGGAGACTGTATTTCATATGTTTTTTGTATCTCCATAGCAGTTTAAGTGCGAAGCATCTAGGCACTCAGGTACTCAATTAAACATCAGTCAGGTTAAAATTACCTTTTGTTTGAGAGATGGCTTTGAAGGGTGGTTAGCCATTGATGTAAGAAGTACAGCCTGAGACCGAGGAGTAAAAGCTGAATCTACAAATGGTTCTGAAATGCCTGGTATTTGGGGCCATTTGTAAATCATGCCCTGGCAGCGCAGAAAGAGCATCACATAGCAAGTTTGGAGACTTGGCTTCTGGTCTCAGCTGGGACAGACAATTGATCTGATATGGATCCTCATAATCCAGATCTGGAACCAGGTGGCCCTCTGGCTTTTGGTTCAAAAGGCAAGTTTCTTCTTGACACAGGAGCCCTTTGGAAACTTGTCACCTCTCACTGACCCTATTGATGGCTCCCAGTTTCTTCTGATAGTTTGATCATGGCCCATAATCCTTAAATAGACAAAATTTCCAAGGAAGCTGATTTGCATTAGATTGAAAGTCAATCAGGCTGCTGCAAGAATATGGGATTAGGCCTCAGGGGAAGGAAAGGCCGTTATTTTTCAACTCTCTGAAGGTCAGAGGCAGCAGGGGGCTGCTCATCTTGGGATGGTCCTGAGAATGTGACCCTCTGTGTTCCCTAAGTGTGACCGGGAAACTCGGCTGGACCCTTCTTCAGGCTGCTGTTTCTCTCCTGGCCTGTCATGAGGCTCATTGACCTTCTACCTGTGTGCACTGGCCTGGCTCCATCCGCCGCTGGGGCCCTGGCTGAAGGACCCCTGCAGCTGGCGGCCAGTGTGTTCCCTGACCTTGCCAGCTCAGTTCTGTAAGCCGTTGTGCCTCCAGGTGGCCACTTAACACAGTGGATGATACAGAAACTGTGAGAAATAGCCCTGTGGGCTACAAACTCCAGCCACAACGGAGCCCAGCAAAAAAACACAGCCCCCAATTTTGACCTTGTGCTAGATTCATTCCGTGCTGTTCTGGCGGCAACACGCTTGGGGTGGCCGTAAACACATGGGACCACGAGGCAGGGTAAGTTTTGCTTTGCCAGTGTTTCACACAGCCTTGTTTTTCTTTCACCCAGCCTGATTTCTGTCTTTCTTTTTGCAGTATCCCAAATATGAAGGGCAGGAGTCTTTCCCAGCCGAGCTGGATGCGCGGGCCGGGATGGCAATGGAGCCATCCTGGAGGGGGCTCTCCAAGTGCACAGCCTGCTTGCTTCTATTAATTCACAAAGCGCTTTCCATGAGGGAGCCAGACAAGCAGCATTATTATTATCATCAATCACCCGGTGCTGAAGAAACTGAGGCAGCCGAGGGAGTGGAGGGCTGCTGAGCTGGCTCATTCAAAGGGAGGAGGAGGAGGAGGAGGAGGTGGCGGTGAAGGTGCACATGGCCTTTTTGCATTAGCTTGGAGGTGACAAGGTAGAGGGATGACCAGCCTGTGGGAGCCGCCATTCAGACCAGGCACCCTGCCTCGGCCCGTTCTCTTTTTCGGGTCCCTAAATCGAATACATTTTGATTCAATTTGGATGTTCTGGATTAGTGGAAGGGAACGAGGTTTAAAAGAGGTCAGCTCCATTACTCAGCATTATTAATGATGTTGTCGACTGTTAAAATCTCAAAAAACTAGGAAACTAATAAATTTTACATATTGAAAAATCACAGATGGATCAGGCAAATGGATAAATTGTTAAAAGTATTTAATATCTGTTAAGAGGACAGAATGATAAATTCAATATTGAAAACCAATATCAGATTCACAATTACAGGCCATTTATCATAACCAACTGCATGGACAGCATCTTATTGCAGGGAGCATGGTGTGATTCATAAGCAGAGACCCGGAACAAGTCCATATGAAACGAGAAATAAATCTGCTTTACATATTGGAAACTTATTTCCACTTCCTATCTTTATTGCCAACAATAATGTTAGCTTTCAAGAACAAATTGTTACACATTAAACCCATGCATAATGAGCCCAATTGAGTAAAAAACTCCCCTAAAAAGAGCTTTAAATTATTCCAAATTGGGTTATTAGCTTGAGCTCTAATTCCACTGAGAGGGCCCACCAATCTTATAGTAAAGTTTCAGTGCCTAAACAGACAGTTGGTTTCCTAGATTGGGCCCCAAAGTTCTGGCTTTGTTCTTTCTTTTCCAGCCCTAGCTCCCTGAAAATCGAACAAGGTCACAGTCACCGTAAGGAACAAACGTGCTAGTATTTAACAGAAGTGCTCATGAAACAAATGGTAAGAACGTCGCAATTTACATTTTTGATTTTAAGATGCACGGTTCTGCATCGTTTGAATATTTGAGGCCCTGTGAGTACATGGAATGATTTGAATTCAGACCCTTGCACGTCCTGGCCAGGATATCAGCTCAGTCAATGTTTTGATCTAAAGATACTCTAGGATCAAGTGGCAGAGAAGTGACTTGGCTGTAGACATCTGTCATTTCTCTGACTGCCCAGACTGATCCAGCTGACATGTCTTTAAAAACGACAGAGGATGGATTAAAAAAATTTTTTTTCCTGATTTCAAAAATGAGGTGCTCAAGGGGCACCTGGCTGGCTCGGTCAGTAGCGCATGCAACTCTTGAACTTGGGGTTGTAAGTTCAAGCTCCACAATGGGTGTAGAGATTACATAAAAGTAATATCTCAAAAAGAAAGAGAATGAAGTGCTCATATGTAGAAAATTTGGAATGTGTAGGAGGGAAAAAGCTTCATCCCGTCCCGGGGTCACCAATTACGTTTGACATGTGTCTTTTGTGTTCTTTGTTCTCTTTTTTTGCTGTGCATTTTCTTTACATAGTTGAGATTATGTATTTACAATCTTCTATCCCATGCAATCATAATTTTGATGCTTATGTAATACTCCATCATTTCACAATGGACCCTTTCCCTCCTACTGAGCCCTTAGCAGTAGACATCTTGATGTGCTTATCTTTGGGTGAATTTCTGATTATTTCTTTAAGATTTATTCCCAGAAATCTCATTACTGGGTTAAAGAGCGTGAACATTTAAAAACCTGTGATATATACGAAGACAGAGAAGAGGATTTTATGTAAACCCCTCTTTAATGAGTTTGTTAATTGTTTGGTCAAGCTGCTGCCACAGCCGAGAGGTGATTGGCGTCAGTTTCACCTGCATTCAAGAGCTACAGACTAGCTGGGGGACTTACCCATGTGGAGCCTCCATTGCTACATCTGTAAAATGGGCCTCATGATACCTTCATCTCAGGGTTGTTGTGAAGATAAAATGTGACAGTACCTTCGCCCAGCACCTCAGTAAACAGTAAACAGTCCACAAAAGGCCAATAGTATTTGTCTTTATGCATTTTTTTGGTGGCAGAATATTATAACTATGTCCTTATAATATGCATAATACAAAAAGTATAATACATGCATATATAGTATGATATAAAATATAATAGAGTACACTATAATAAATACTAATATAATATATATTAGTGTATATTATAGTATATTAGTACATATAAGTATATGAATATATGTAGTATATTAGCACATATAGTATAATAATATGATAGAATATAATACATGTATAACACATATATATATACATAAAGACATCGAAAAAAATCTTTAAATTTATTTTTGAGAGAGAGAGACAGAGAGAGACAGAGCACAAGCAGTGGAGGGGCAGAGAGAGAGAGAGGGAGACACAGAATCCAAAGCAGGCTCCAGGCTCTGAGCCATCAGCACAGAGCCTGACACGGGGCTCGAACTCTCCAACTTGAAATCATGACCTGAGCAGAAATCAGTCAACCACTGAGTCACCCAGGTGCCCCAAGGCATCATATAATCTTAAAACCTTTAAGCTTTAATAGTATTTTCCATTATCTCCAGGATAAAAATGTAACTTATCGGTCACTATCCTTCACCATCAGAGCCCAGTTCACCTTTCCAACTTTCTTCTCTCCATTACATTTGCTCCAGCTGCTTATGATATATATATATGCCTATGATATATATATATATATGTGTGTATATATATATGTGTATATATATGTATATATATATGTATGTATACACATACATATACCCTATATATATACATATATATATACATATACATATATATAAATATACACACATATACCCTCCTTGAATGGGTCATGTATCTCCCATCACTGTGCCCATGTCCCTTCTTTTTCCAGCCCATCCTTTCCCTTCTTTTCACCGTTTGCCAAACCATACTTATGGGTCAGGAGTGGCTCAGGCATCACCATTTCCGCCAAACCTTCCCAATACCTCCCTGGGTAGGATGAACATGCTTGTCCTCTGTGTTCCCATAGCATCTTGTGTATACTTGGGTTGCAGCTCTGCCCGGTCTCACGTGTTTCAGCAGGTGAGGTGCGTTTCAGTCTCTCCCACTAAACTGGGGGCACTATAAAGGTTAAGATCATGTCCTATTAATCTTGGTTTTCTTTCATGCCTACCACAGTGCCTAACACACTAGAGGGACTCAATCAAAGTTTGTTAAATGTAACAGAGGTAGTGGGTATGATCAAAGAAGTCCATATATGACACTTAAAGGCAAAGTGAATTTCAAGTGAGTTGAAAGCTGATTGGACTTTAATTTTTTATGTATTATGGGATTTAAATTGTACTTTGTGCCATTGTGAAGTGTTTTCTAAGCCTTGGAATACTTAGTGCTATTTGTAAAGTGTTTCTAGGCAAATTATTGAGATTTAACATTGTACAAGGAATTTCAGAGGACCCTGTATAGATATATATCAACATATCTCATGGGAGATTATAGCATGTAACCATTATATAGGTGGGGATACTAAAACCCAGGGAAAAGAGACTGTGGAGTTATTGGGACCCTGAATTTCTTGCCCTCCTTAAATCGTACTATGGTTAAAGCTGAAGTTTGAAATGGTTTCCATATTGACTCTATACACCACTTAACGAGCCTGGTAAAATATCTGGGTCATGTCTAATTGACAGGCATTGTCCTTACCGTTATTTTTGTCTGTTTGGCTCAGTGCTGGATCCCCCAATACCTAGAACAGTGCTTGGCACCTCAGAGGCACTCAATCAATACTTGCCAAATGACCGAATGAATCAGCTATCACATTTGGTAGGACCCAATCTGCATCCATTTGGGGTTGTTTAGTTCAACTTGACAAATCATTATAGAGAGCTTTCTGTGTTCCAGATGCCTTGCCAAGGAGGTGAGGGTATGAAGATGAATAGCATATGGATCCTGTCTTCATGATCTTGACATCCGGTGTGGGAAGCAGACATGTAACAGATAAATGCAGCGTGTCGTGGTTGGTGAAAGAGAAGCCTTGGTACAGAGTTGCAGGAAAACCCAGAGGAAGGGAGTTCAGTCCAGCCCGGGGGCTTCAAGGAAGATTTCCTATAGGACAATATGCTTGAGCTGTCTTGCTGGATGAGTAAGAGTTAGGCTGAAGAAAGCTGGAAGGGCACACCAAACAGGAGATATCATGAGCAAAGACAAGGATATGACATCTCATTCGCTAATTCATCTAAGGAACATTCTTGCTGGCCTACTGTGTGCCAGATATGTGGCAGCAAACCAAGCCCCTTTCCTTGCTTGTGGTCCAGTGGACACAGGACCTGCTAACTTGCAGCATCAAGGGAGGACCCGGAACAGGGTGGGGAGTGGTGGCAGAGGAGGCTGAACAGGGTGGCGCTTTGTTTTACCTGAGAATTGAGTTGATACCCCACCTACTTCCGCCAAGGATTTGAGGCATTTATAAAGAGCTAAGGATTTGCCAAATGGTGCTATCAGTGGGCAGGAGTCCCAGACTCCTTCCTGAGATGGGGGATTCTTTGGCTTCCTCTAAAGTCTCTTGGTCACTGCAGGGAACTGACTGCTAACAGGGCTGCGGAAGTGAGGCTGCCCCTGGACCCTGGGCACTCCTAGAAATCCCCTTGGGTTGATTCAAGAATTTGGGTTGTGATGCATGGCAAGGAAGAACCTGGCACATGGTAAGAACATTGTAAATGCCTATTGAATGAAAACATGAGGGATTTGACTACATCTGCAAAACGGAGGCATGGCCAATCCCTTTGAGCTTTGCCTTAAGACTAAGAATGAGGAGCTTCCTGGAAAGTAGGATGGGTCCTGTATCAACACGTTGCTCCACTCAAGTCAAAGGATAAATAGCCAAAAATAAAACCTGTGTGCCTTTATTTCCAAGTCCGACCATCTATCCATCCAACATTAGGCCGGGCACTGTCTGAAACATTGGCGACATTGAAATGCTTTTATGAAATTCACTGTCCAGGGGGGCCAGGTAGACCCGTGAAGAGATAATCCGATGGCAGTGAGAAAAATACTAACCCAGGCAGGTAAACAGGTAGGGTGAAGGGGCCAAGAAAGGCCTTGTCAATGAGCAGAGATTTAAAAGGACAAGACTGGAGTTTACCAAGCTGGAAAGAGGAATGGGAAGGACATTAGGCTTTGAGAACAGTAGAGATAAATTTAGGGGCAGGTGGGGAGGGCATAAACAGTATGTCGAGTTCAGGATGTACAGATAGACTGGTGTGGCTCTCAGGCTGTCCAGTAGGATGTAAGGGTTGGCAGACTGTTGCAGGTGAGGAGAAGGAAGTGCTTAGTGGTATACTTACCTGGACCATCTGTTACAAATACAACGAAAATAGTTTCCAAAGAAGCATGACCACACAGACTTGGTCAGAGACTTACACTCGACCTAATGGTTTTATTATCATTACTATTCTTTTTTTAAAAATATTTTTATTACTTTTTGAGATAAGGGAGGGGCAGAGAGAGAGAGAGAGAGAGAGAGAGAGAGAGAGAAGGAGACAGAATCTTAAGCTGGCTCCAAGCTCTGAGCTGTCAGCCTAGAGCCAGATGCAGGGCTCAAACCCAGGAGCTCTGAGATCATGACCTGAGCCCAAGTCAAAGGCTTACCCGACTGAGCCACACAGGCGCACCAATCATGACTACTCTTTGGACAGCATTCATTTACATTTGCTCCGGACCTCAAATCAAAGCAAATCAGAATATGACAAACGTGTGTCAGTGAGATGGGGTATCTGGTGGAGAATGCATTCTCTCTCTGTGGTGAGTAAGCAGTTGACATCCTTGTAGGGTGCAGTCTGCGATGGCATAAGGACCATTGCCAGTGATTTAACCCTGGCCCCTGACAAACCACATTTTAGAATTACTTTTTACCCACCTGGCACCACTAATATAACCGTAACTTATGTAAAATCTGCATACGTGGATATGTTAAGTTCACTAACTTCTAGAATCCCACATCCTCCAAGGACTTTCAGGAATCTCCACGATACCTCTGAAAGCTGCGTTTTGCATCTGATTCTCTTATTTTGGGAAAAAGAAATTTATGTTGCTCGTCCACAGTCCACAGAGTTCCCTCGCTTGGACAAATTGGTCTTGGACGATATATCCACATAAATTGCTCCCAGATCACCCTGTGCCTGTGGGAGGACCAAGGGCTTAAGACGAGAGCATTTCACAGCATCATATTTGGTGCCTTTTCCTGGCAGACATGGAGGAAAGAGAAGAAGAGATCCAATCACATTCCCTGGGACTGTGTAATAAATAATCTGTTATAATAGTGGAGCATCATAACAAATAATAGTGTAATAATGTCATGATGATAACCTATAATTTAAGTAAATTCATGAAAAGCGTAGAATGGAAAGATTTCCAGCACTGGCTTCTGAGAATGAGTCACAAACTTAATTTCCAGTTCAAAGCAATTGGCACTTCTGACGTTTAAATGTAAATAGGTCTCTACCAAACTCATTAAATATTCAATCCATATTCAAAGTTATTAAATATTGAACACAATCTAATAAATACAACCAAGTTAATCAAGACTTTGATTGGTGGCTGCAGGTTCACAAAATGCTTGTGAAAAAAGTTACTCCACTTGGATTTTATTCAGATAGCCTCCTTATCTCCCTCCCCTGTTTTTATATGAGTGCAGGAATTGTATTATATGCATGTGCAGGCGTTTTGCGTTGTGTTGGTGTGTATGTAGGCGTGCTGGATTATTCTCCCTTGGTAATTTGTGTGCCGGGCAGGACGGCTAAGTGTGGGTATGTTGGAGGATGTGTCTGTGTGTGTTATGTGAGCAGGGGTGACACTGGTGAGTTATCTTGGATGCTGGCTGCTCTGTAGTTTTTCCTTGGTACCACGCCAATGGCTAGGACACAGGGATCCCACGGTCCCCTCTAATTCTTTGTAGGGTATCTGAAGGTTGCTTTTTCTTAGGGTTGTGTAAGTAAGAGTTGGTGCCTGAGAGCGAGTGTCCCCTTGTATTTTGGCCCCAGGGCCCTTGCTTGCCTTACGCCAGTGCCAGCCCTCCAGTGCCAGACGCCATTGCACGGAGGGAAGAGCTTGTGAATAGGCTGGAGTTCAGCTGTGGGTTCTGTCACTTTCTCTGGGACCCTCGGTTTCCCATTCTGTGAAAGGGGGCTGATAATGCCTGCTGTAGAGTATTGCTATTCTCTTACCAAGGCAGAGCCCTGTGCTAGGCTTTGTAATAGATGTGGAGGTAAGGAAAACCCCAGGTACCTTCAGGTGTGGTAGAAAAACAGACATTTTCCAAAACCTGCTAATAAGGCAAGTTTCACCGGAGGAGCTGAAAGATCCTATGAGTTCTGAAATCTTTCTGTCACTCAACAAATTCCAGTCATCCCTGATGCATTTTCTGTGGATGTTCCTCCCTGGGGCTTTGAGCCAGGGCTCTGCAGAAAGCCGGAGGGGAAAAGGTGACCCTTCAGCAAAGAAAAGGGAGAGGGAAGGAGAACAAAGGGACTCCCCTGTACATCTAAGCGTAGGGAAGGTGAGGAGCATGCCGGTCTGAGTCCTGGACACTCTGTCCTGGGTCCTAGCCTTCTGATAATTTCTTTCTTTTTTTTTAATTGAATTTTTTTTAGAGAGAGCGAGAGAGCGGGAGAGAGAGAGTGAGAGCGAGCGCAAGAGTGGGGGAGGGGCAGAGAAAGAGACAGAATCCCAAGCAGGCTCCATGCTCAGCACTGGGCTTGATCCCATGATCCTGGAATCATGACCTGAGCCGAAGACAAGAGTCAGACACTCAACTGACTGAGCCACTCAGGCGCCCCTGATAATTTATTTCTAAAAATGAGAAAGCCCTCCCACCTTGGTCACCAGAGTTTTTGCCTCCTCATCTTCCAACCCCATCCAGACTGAAGGGTTTAGAAGGTGGAAATGAGCTGGGTGTCAGATGCTGTTTCATGGCAGAAGAGACACTTGGGAGCCCGGTAGAAATAAGGAGAGGAAAAGCTGACAGGGGTGGTAGTGGATGAGAGCAAGGGCGATGAAGTTCACTCTGCTTGGACTCTACTTATTATTTGTGTGACCTTGAGCCAGGTGATTCTTGTCTCTGAGTCTTGGTTTCCTGCTCTGCAAGATGGGGATGATAGCAGTGTTTATCTCATTATTATTCCCATTTTGCGGATGAGAACACTGAAGCACAGAGAGATTGAGAAGCTCACTCTCCATCACACAGTTAACAAGTGAGGAAGTCTGGACTTGAACTCAGGCATCTGCTTCTGAGGTCCCTGCTTTCAATTGCCTCATTCCACTCCCGTGCTTTACAGTCTTCTTGCCCTAATTAAAGTGCAAGCTTTTTGTTTCCTTTCCTTTTTTTTTTCTGTTGTTGTTCCTTATTTAATTTCTTTTATCTTATTATTTAAAAAAATTTTAATGTTTATTCAGTTTTGAGAGATGGAGAGAGACAGAGCATGAGTGGGGGAGGGACAGAGAGAGAGGGAGACACAGAATTCGAAGGAGACTCCAGGCTCCAAGCTGTCAGCACAAAGCCCAATGCAGGGCTCGAACCCACAGAATGCGAGATCATGACCTGAGCCAAAATCAGACGCTTAACTGACTGAGCCACCTAGGTGCCCCTATTTTATTTTTTAAATTAATTTATTGTTTAATTTACATCCAAGTTAGTTAGCATATAGTGCAACAATGATTAAGGAGTAGATTCCTTAATGCCCCTTACCCATTTAGCCCATCCCCCCTCCCACACCCCCTTCAGCAACCCTGTTAGTTTTCTATATTTAAGACTCTCTTATGTTTTGTCCCCCTCCTGCTTTTATATTATTTTGAGGGCAAGCTTTTTGATTTACAGGGTTTATAGTTCAGAATAGTGGACTTTTGTCTCAGATTATGCATTTAGAGGAGTAGCCTGGTCTTAAATGTTAACACACTTTCCAAATAAACTTGTCGCTGGGTTGACCATCTACACAGCGGTGGGATGGGCAAAACAGTGCTCCCATGCGCAGGCTCTCAGGGACTGGCAAACGAATGATGGATCATGGGCGCCAGCGTGACCCCGAGCTGACCCTCAGAGATGTTTGCTAAAAGTGTTCCTGGCTCTGTTGGGACCTGTGTCCTTGGAGGCCTGCCATTTGGGCAGAGAAGGTGCAGCTTTATAGATCCGTGTGGCTTTTTAGAGTATGGCAGAAAACCAGGCATCCCCAGCCCAGCACAGTGGGGGCCAGCAACACTCAGCTGCGAGATTCACTCAGATTCACTCGATTCACGCCTGACAGTGTGGCAGCGTGGGGGGGTGTGAGAGAGAGAGAGGGAGGGAGGAGGGGAGGGGGGAGCAGGTTGCTTCCTGAGCATTTGCTTGTTGAGATGGAGAGGAAGGGTTATCCAGGGCGACCTGCCCACCTCCCCGAACCTGGTAGAACCTGGGTTTGGAAATTATAAATGAGTGTCCACCACATAGTCGTGACGGTGAGAGGCATGGTGGCAAGTGGAATATATAATCCAAAGGGAAGAGGAAGAGGAAGGAAAAATGTGCAAATACTTGCCTTGTATAATACAGCTGCTAACAGGTATCAAGTGCTACTATGTGCGTTATTTGGTTTTATCCTCAGAGGCTCACTGTATCGTTGTCCTTCCCACCTTTATGGACAGGGTAGCCGAGGCTAGAGAAGCAGAGTGACTGCCCGGTGTCACAGTAAGTGGTGGCACGGGAGTGCAAATCCAGAAAGTTAGGACCCCTCCTTCTGGCCTTTGGCAACCTACAAAGTACAGCATCTCAGGGGCGCCTGGGTGGCTTAGTCGGTTAAGCGTCCGACTTTTGCTTGGGTCATGATCTCGCGTTCGTGGGTTCGAGCCCCGCGTCGGGCTCTGTGC